ATGATGGGATGTCCTTATGCCAGAGTCCTGATTGATTGCAAATTACTCGGACGGATCAGATAAGGAGTACTTCTACTCGCAGCTACAGGAGCTACTTGAAAGACTTCCTCGCCGGAGACTGAAATGGCCGGACTGGGCCCAGTGGCACGTCAAACAGTCACCATATTGGTCATTTTGGGCCTGGCTCTCGATCCGACAATGGTGAGAGGTTGCTGCCTTTTGCTGATCAGATACGACTGTGTGTTACCAACACATGTTTTCCGCATTGTCATAAACACCTACTGACCTGGTATTCAAACGACAGCCGTACCGCCAGTCAGACCGATTACATTCAGTTGGTTTAAGGTTTCGCGGCTGGGTCTGTGATAGCAGGTCGATGAGAATTGCCGAAACTGGTAACGCCCACGGGCCAGACCATGTTCTCCTTCGCACAAGCCTGAAGGTGCATTTCTCATCTGCACCTATAATACCGCATGCGAGACGTCGCAAAACTCCGGCAATTCAGGACTGCCGAGGCCTTGAACACAAAAATCCGGTCCTGTTTTATGACCCGAGGTGACGGTGAAGACAGTGGCTGATTGTCATCATTGAAGAAATCCGTCTATGGGCAGTTTAAAAAATTCTTAAATCCATTCAGCGGCGTCGTGGTAACTGGACCAGCGGAGTAACCCTGCAGCTGCCTAGCCAGACGGCTCAAACCAGGTCCCGCAACAATTCTTCCTTCCGACAAATAAGAAGGCTGACAGCAAAGTCAGCTAGGGATGATCGGCAGAAGTATTGGGCTGAAACAGCGATTTCCATGGAGCAGGCCCCAAATGGTAGTGACACTCGAAAACTGTACCAAATTATCCCACAAATTAGTGGTAGGCCCTCGACACTCTGTGATTCTGTTCGCGATGTGAATGGCGGATTAATTGCTGACAACTCGGCCAAGGTCGATCGATGGCGTGAGCACTTAGAGCACCTCATCAGAGCAACCCATCACACCTTCCCTCTCGCCCGCATCGGAGATTCAACCCTCTCCAGCCTATGCAGTGTCGTGCGATCTCCCTTCTGAAGATGAAGTTTCCGACGTAATACGAATGTTGTGCAACAGCAAGGTGTCCAAAGAGGACGGTATTCCCGCTGAAATGTTGTGAAATTGACACCCTGACTCCCTGAGATTATCGAGCAAGCTTGAAGAGATGAAGTGGTTCCGAATGACTGGGGTTTGGGTATCCTTATGCAAAAAGTGAGATAAGACGAAGTGCGAAAGCTATCTCGGTATAAGCGTCATCGATGCTGCTGCAAAGGTCTTCAATGTTGTCCTCACTAGACGATTCCAGTCCGTACGAG